CGCCAGTCCAGGTTGGATGCATGAGACAAGTGCTCAGGGCTGGTGCACTGGGAAGACCCAGAGGGATGGGATGGGGAGGGAGGTGGGAGGGGGGATCAGGATGGGGAACACATGTAAACCCATGGCTGATTCATGTCAATGTATGGCAAATACCACTACAATATTGTAAAGTAATTAACCTCCAACTAATCAAAATAAATGGAAAAAAAATACAAGAAAAGATCTTAAATTTTGAATAGAAAATAAGCTAACTTGCAAGATCATGATATCCATCCTTTCCCTTTCAAAGATATGAAATTAGTCCATTTTTAATTACATAACCTTCAGGAAATAACCTAGACATCCTATTTTGATATCTAAACCAATGATGAGCAGCCATCATAGACAAGCAATTTCTCACCTAAATAATAAGTTTTCATTTGGAAGCCTACATCTCTATCTCTTCAGTACAAATTAAACATTATTTGTGAGCATTCACTAAGGACTAGTCACCATACTAGGTACATCAGAGAAAACAAGATAGGACATGGTCTCTATCCTCAAGGGAACTCCCACCTTCTTAAGGCGAGACACACATAAATTCAAGGCATTCTAAAGCAGGGCGGATTGTGACAAATGCATCAGGAGTATAAACAACATATTAGTAATTAGTAGAGAAGTTCAGAGATACATATCATCTTAAAATTGGGGTAATGGAAGGATCTTTTAGATAAGGTGAAATCTAAGGATGTCCTTGATGGTGCAGTGGATAGGAATCCACCTGCCAATGCAGGGGACATGGGTTCAGTCCCTGGGCTGGGAAGATCCCACACGCTGGGGAACAAGTAAGCCCATGTGCCACAACTACTGAGCCTGTGCTCTAGAGCCCTCCAGCCACAACTACTGAGCCCGCATGCTCCAACTACTCAAGCCCGGGTACCTAGAGACCATGTTCCACAAGAAGAGAAGCCACTGCAGTGAGAAGCCCATGCATGGCCACTAGAAAGTAACCCCCACACTCCCAACTGGGGAAAAACCCATGCACAACAAGAAGGACCCAGTGCAACAAAAAATAAAAAAAGAAAAAGTGATAGCTGCTGAAATATCTACCTTGTGCCAAAGCAAGACAGGAATAAATAATATCTGTATTTATGAAAACTCTCAGGATAGCAGGTCTTAAAAGTACTACAGCAGACCAACATGGAACAGTAATGGTGTGAATAAATTGCAGTACCATGGAAGAGATCTTGGAAGATTTGTCGTTCTACAAGGGTTGGGGAGGGGTCTGCCTTGAAATGAAAATAAGTTTCACCAGCTAATGTAGGAGAATAAAGGACATTTCAAGCAGCAGAGTATCACATAATTGAGGAATGCCTCTAAAATAAGGGTGTAAGTTTCACAAGGGTAGACAGCGACAAGGATTTCAAAGACAAGGGGATAAACAGCAGTTCATTATTGTCTGCAAAAGAACACTGTATAAGTTGGAAGACAGCTATTGACTCAAATCTGAATTTTGTTCTTCCTGGATTTTATTTTCTAGTTCCTTCATTGTGCTGTAACTGAGCTCTCTCATGATCCCTAAATTCATCTCGAGGCTGAATTTCACATTTCCTCCATACTAAGAGTCTTTGCCTCCCAAATTCTATACACAGTACACTTATTGGCACATTTCAAGTCTATTCTCTAGTTGACAGAAGCAGAGAGACTTCTCTGTTTACAAAGATCATGTGGTTTTTCCTTGTACAATTAGGTGATTAGTCTATGTTTTCTATTACTTAACATATTCACTTTGTTGTTGTTGTTGTTTAGTAGCTCAGTTAGTTCCAACTCCTTTGTAACCCCATGAACTATAGCCCAACCAGGCTCTTCTGTCCATGAGATTTTTCCAGTCAAGATTACTGGAGTGGGTTGCCATTTCCTTCTCCAAGGGATCTTTCCAACCCAGGGATAAAATCCACATCTCCATGTCTCCTGCACTGCAGGCAGCTTCTTTATTTCTGAGCCACCACCAAGAAAGCTCACAACATATTCATGCCATTATTCTAAATAGCCCAGACCAGACGGCAGCATGTCCCCATAGGCCACCACCACAGCTTGTGTTATCAGGCCAAGTTATAAGATAGTTACCATAGAAGTCTGACTTGAAACTTGTCTCCTTTCTCCCCACAATTCCTCAGAATGGGTACTCACTGTTTCTGCCAGGTTTTGTTTTGTTATTTTAAGTGCTTCTGACTTGATCTTGCTGAACAAAATATCTGCCCAGTAATCTATTCATCAGAAACCTGTGGTTCAAGAAGTTCCAAAGATCTTCCCTGGAATTACTATCATCTCCCTTCTATGTGAAGGTTATTTTCCTCCAGGAGGCACCAGGTTACCATTTTTGGCCTCTGGCCCACCAGATAATAACACCTCTTTTTGGCGGCCAAGAAGAGCAGGCAGTACCTAGGATTAGGCAATAAATATTGGGTTGGCAAAAGAGTTTGGGTTTTCCTGTAAGATGGGATTAAAAATCCGAACAAACTTTTTGGCCAGCCCCACAGTTTCCATATCCAGCACTCCAAAAACAATGCAATTACTTGCTGTTTATCCTTGCCTTTACCATAAAGCTGTTTCAAATGTACATGGTTCTACCTTAGGGCTACTTTCCCAGAAAGTCACTCTCTTGCTTGTCCATTTATTTGTTTAACAAATTTTGAGATCAGAAAAAGAACAAATAACAGATATAAAGAAAACATAACACCATTTAGTGGGGGAAATATACATTATCAATACATGTAAATAATGGTGTATAATATTATATCATGTCAGGTAGCAAGCGCAACAGTGGAAAATTAGGCAGGATAAACAAGACACCTACAGATTTCATCTACATGTGAGACATGATATGAAGAAAATCCAACATAATATATATCAGAGATGCTTCTTAAATACCCACTACCTTCCCAAGAAAGAAGGCTACATCCAGAAAATGTTTAAAAATAAAGCAGTCTATTGAGGAAAGAATAGCTATCTTTTTAGCTACCGCCACAATGAATGTAGAGCTTCCCAGTAGAGCCAGTGGTTAAAAAAAAAAAAAAAACCCACCTGTCCACACAGAGGATGTAAGAGATGCAGGTTTAATCCCTGGGTTGAGAAGATGTCCTGGAGGAGGGCATGGCAACCCATGCCAGTATTCTTGCCTGAAAAAATCCATGGACAGAGGAGCCTGGCAGACTACAGTCCATAGGATTGCACAGAGTTGGACACAACTGAAGCAACTTAGCATGCACACACACATGATAAATGTAATGTATAAATAACAAAATATTGTCTGAGGTAACAAATGCCCCTGAGGCAAGAACCTGAAAGAGAACAGGAAAGCCAGGAGCTATCAGGGATCTAGGAATATGACTCTGGGGAGCAGTAGATCTGGCAAGTCCAGAAATATCAGGGGAAATTTATAAGATGAAAAGACACCAACACCACAGCTGTGGTTAGTTTTTCAGAGCTTCATGTTCATACATGTGGGCACAGTGGCTGAGATGCTCCAGGGCCAAGCTAAAATCAATATTCATGGCTAAATCATCTTTACCTCAAGCTGGTTTGTGGTGGTTTAAGTTCTTTAAATTCTAACTTCATGGCTGATTTTTCATCACATTATTCATAAATACAATAAAAAGGACTAGATAGTGTGCTACTAATTTTCTGTTCATTTTATTGAAATGTACTTGATTTACAAAGTTGTTACACAGTGATTCAGTTATACATATATACATACTCCTTTTCAGATTCTTTTCCCTTATAGATTATTAAAAAATATTGAGTATAGTACCCTGTGCTATACAATAGGTCTTTGTTGTTTCTCTACTTTATATAGTGTTATTTATGTTAATCCCAACCTCCTAATTTATCCCTCCCCCCAGAATACTATTAATTTTTATCTGTGCTTATTAGTTGATATTTCTTTCAATATTACTATCCTGCTACATTTTAGGTGAAAGTGAATGTGCCTGGGCGGAGCAGGTGGAGGCAGGCGGCAAACCAGCTGGGGAGGCAGTTGCGGGGCTGCAGGACTGCAGTGGGGCCATGACAGAATCACCCCTGAAAGTGTGCATCGTGGGCTCGGGGAACTGGGGTTCAGCTGTTGCAAAAATAATTGGTAATAATGTCATGAAACTTCAGAAATTTGCCTCCACGGTCAAGATGTGGGTCTTTGAAGAAATGGTTAATGGGAGAAAACTGATAGACATCATAAATAATGACCATGAAAATGTAAAATATCTCCCTGGACACAAGCTGCCGGACAATGTGATTGCAGTCCCCAATCTCAGTGAGGTTGTGTGGGACGCAGACCTGCTGGTGTTCGTGATCCCCCACCAGTTCATCAACAGCATCTGCGACGAGATCTCTGGGAAAGTGCCCAAGGGCGCGCTGGGCATCAGCCTCATCAAGGGGATCGATGAGGGTCCCCAGGGGCTGAAGCTCATTTCTGACATCATCCGAGAGAAGATGGACATTGACGTCAGTGTGCTGATGGGCGCCAACACTGCCAATGAGGTTGCTGCCGAGAAGTTCTGTGAGACCACCATCGGCAGCAAGGTCATGGAAAATGGCCTCCTCTTCAAAGAACTTCTGCAGACTCCAAATTTTCGAATTAAGGTGGTTGCTGAGGCAGACGCTGTTGAACTGTGTGGCGCTCTGAAGAACATTGTGGCCGTGGGAGCCGGGTTCTGCGATGGCCTCCACAGCGGCGACAACACCAAAGCTGCCGTCATCCGCTTGGGGCTCATGGAAATGATCGCCTTCGCCAGGATCTTCTGCAAGGGTCGCGTGTCCAAAGCCACCTTCCTGGAGAGTTGCGGCGTGGCCGACCTGATCACTACCTGCTACGCGGGCCGGAACCGCAAGGTAGCTGAGGCCTTTGCGGGGACCGGAAAAACCATCGAAGAACTGGAGAAGGAGATGCTGAACGGGCAGAAGCTGCAAGGACCACAGACTTCCGCCGAGGTGTATGGCATCCTCAAACCGAAGGGACTGCTGCACAAGTTTCCATTGTTCACGGCAGTGTACCAGATCTGCTACGAAGGCAGGCCTGTTGAAGAGATGTTGTCTTGTCTCCAGAATCATCCGGAGTATACATAAAGGGAATCATGCAGCATGTTAGGGAAAGTCCTGCCTTTCTGATTGCTTGTCTGAATTCAAATGGAAACCGGGGCTTGGCCAGGAGATGCTTGTGTGACCGTAATCCCATCACAGGTGCTGTGAATTTTTACAGGTTCATTTGTTAACATATATGAGTGTGTGAGTGTGTGTTCCTTCCTTGTTCTGTGGATGTTTCTATGAACCAAAATTAAAGACCCTTTTTAAAAATTACTTCTGAAATTCTCCCACTCTGATAGTTTATAAACTTGGAACTATCTAGCATTGCCATGTATACACTACCATGTGTAAAATAGATAGCTGGTACACAGGGAGCTAGATAGCATATTAAAAAGCAGAGACATTACTTTGCCAACAAAGGTCCATCTAGTCAAGGCTATGGTTTTTCCAGTGGTCATGTGAGTTGGACTGTGAAGAAAGCTGAGCGCCGAAAAACTAATGCTTTTGAACTGTGGTGTTGGAGAAGACTCTTGAAAGTCCCTTGGACTGCAAGGAGATCCAACCAGTCCATCCCAAAGGAAATCAGCCCTGGGTGTTCATTAGAAGGACTGATGTTGAAATTGAAACTCCAGTACTTTGGCCACCTCATGCAAAGAGTTGACTCATTGGAAAAGACCTTGATGCTGGGAGGGATCGGGGGCAGGAGGAGAAGGGGACGACAGAGGATGAGATGGCTGGATGGCATCACCAACTTGATGGACATGAGTTTGAGTGAACTCCAGGAGTTGGTGATGGACAGGGAGGCCTGGCGTGCTGTGACTCATGGGGTCGCAGAGAGTCGGACACAACTGAGTGACTGAACTGAACTGAACTGAACACAGGGAGCCCAGCCTGGTGCTCTCTGATGCCCCAGAGGGTGGGATAGGAGGAGTGGAGGGAGGCTTAAGAGGGAGAGGAGATATGTATGATTATGGCTGATTTGCAGTTGTTGTAGTGCAGAAACCAATACAACATTGTAAAGCAGTTTTCCTCCAATTAAAACACAAATTTAAAAAGAAAGATTGGAACTATCGCAGCTAAAAGTTTTGAATCTAATTCATATGTATTTTGGTGAAGGTATTTTTTTTCTCATTCTCTTAATTTAGCCAGCATTAACATGATAGAGTGGCAGAGTGAGTGGGTTCAAAAATCTATATACTGTAACTTTTAAATACTGTCTCAGAACCAACATAATCAACTACTTTGATTGTGGGCTGATCTATTATTTTAAACAATTACATACTTTTAATTAGGCTATATATATTCCTCTCATTTCAGTTTTCTGTATTTTTAGCCTGTTATCTCTTCATTAGCTACCAGAATATGCTTTCATAAAGGCTGGAAAGTGGCAGAAGACAGAAAACTCATCTGGGATTTCCCTGATGTGGTTGACAGTCTTCTGATTAACAACACTTGTGTGATACTTGGGAGACCCAGGTTTGATCCCTGGGTCAGAAAGATCCCCTGGAGAAGGGAATGGCTACCCACTCCAGGGCTGTTGCCTGGAGAATTCCATAGACAGAGGAGCCTGATGGGCTACACTCCACAGGGTCGCAAAGAGTTGGACACAGCTGGGTGCCTAATGCTTTCACTTTTTCACTTTTCTTTTGTGCAAGCATTTCCTTTAAGCCTCACAGATCCCCTGAAAGAGGGCTGCCATTATTCCTCACTGAAGATGCAGTCACTGTGCCTGGCTGCCTGGTGAGTTGGGTCAGAGCCAGAGTCAAGCCCAGTGCTTCTCCCCTACCTGAGGTGTGCCAGGACCCACTCAGGCATCAGTGGACTGCTTTGACTTATTAATTGGTTGTAGGATACACAGCCTTTCCTGAGGCCATCAGCAGGCTTCCTGCAGCTGAAGTTTGTATGGGTCCTGATCTAGAAGGATGCTGTTCCAAGTGTCCATCAACTTGGACTTCTTTCCATCAACTACACCTGGAGACTCTTAGAAATGCTTCGACACCTAATTCGACTCCAGATCTCTGAAGTGGGGTCTTGAACCTGTGCTTTGGCATGCCTTCCGTGTGTTTCAGCACTCACTACAGTTTGAAAGCTACTACTTTAGAAAATTTACTTTAGGTTGGCATTTCTCAAACCATGTTCCCTGGAACACAGTGGTTGTTCCAGTGTTCCCTCACAAGGTCCAGTGAGTTTTGAAAAAGCTGCATCTGTACACCCCTCTTGAAGGGGCAGAATGTATGTTAGTTGGTTACTGGGACTTGTTTTTTTAACCCAGCAAGTCCCAGACATGTTAAATTATGGAGATTTTTTGGGCAGGAGGCAAGAAAACCTGCCATAGTTTCCAAGGAACACTGTTCCAGGCTGTGGCCTTAGCACAGCTCAAGTATCCCCCTCTCTCTGCAAGAAATGAGGATAGATGACTACCTCTATGTTGTATGTTGTATGTTCTGAACCTTAGTAGTTCAGGTCTGCCATGGATCTTTGATGAAGTTTTAAGGCGTGGCACTGTTAGGTACAAGCAAGTAAGTGGATGTCAACCTTGCTGAAACACATTGTGTGGACTAAGTGCTTTTAATTCTAGAATAAAGAACGGGAATTACTGTATCTTCTTAAATGAGATAGGTTACCTTACATAGAACGTGGTAAGTGTTAAGAGAACATATGACTATCACTTATATATTCATCGACTTTCAGTCACTTTGAGAGTTTTATCCTTTTTGTTTTCCAGCTTGGGGTTTTTTTCTTCTTCCTTTTTTCCAAACATATCTGAAATGATTGTCAAACAGATTTTGTGGGAATTTTTAAAATTCCTATTTACAGAAGTATATGAAAGCACACCTACTGTAATATAGAAAAAATACCTGTCTTAAAATCCATCCTAACAGGTAGAATTCAGCTAAATTCCTTCTGGTTTTCATTGAACTCTTATCTATATGGCCCCATGGTATTGACCCAAGGAGCAGTGAGGTGCCTCTGTACTAAAGAATCTTTTGTTTTTCCCACTAGTTCTAATCCAAGAGTACTATACATGCACTATATTTAGTTTTCTTACCTATCATGTACTATATTAGTTTACAGACCATAGGAGGAAATGATTTAAAAGCTTAATAAACATTTTAATCCCCCAAACCTATGTTACTGATCCCACTTTTTAACCATCTTATTTTATAATTTTGTTTGTTTAGGTAAGCTTTTTTTTCTCCCTGAATTGTGTTGCATTGACAATAATAAAAAGGCAATTTTAAAAAAGTGAATGGCTTTGTAGTAGAGCCTGAAGTCAGGCAGGTTGATTCCTCCAGTTCCATTCTTCTTTCTCAAGATTACTTTAGCTATTCAAGGTTTTTTGTATTTCCATACAAATTGTGAAATTATTTGTTCTAGTTCTGTGAAAAATACCATTGGTAGCTTGATAGGGATTGCATTGAATCTATAGATTGCTTTGGGTAGTATAGCCATTTTGACAATATTGATTCTTCCAATCCATGAACACGGTATATTTCTCCATCTGTTTGTGTCCTCTTTGATTTCTTTCATCAGTGTTTTATAGTTTTCTATGTATAGGTCTTTTGTTTCTTTAGGTAGATATACTCCTAAGTATTTTATTCTTTTTGTTGCAATGGTGAATGGTATTGTTTCCTTAATTTCTCTTTCTGTTTTCTC